CTTGATTAATTTATTCAATTCCCGACTAATTAAAATTTTGCCTCCGATCCATTGAGCGAGGTGCTTGAGAACACCCTAAGTTTGTAATAATAGATTTAAATTGATATAATTTACAGTTAATATCATAATTTCTGGAACACCTGATAAAAATTAGCCGAATGACTTTTCTGCTGATTCAAATAAGTTTGTGGTTTCGGCATGATTGGTATATAAAAGATGTATACTTTGTTCTACAGATAATTTTATCTTTATAATGTCAACACATTCAACATTATTAAATTTTGTTTGAATACTTATCAATATATTTGGTATATTTAGTTTGCACGAAAATTTACGGATAAGTCAGTTCTTGTCAACCAATAAATCTTGATAAAAAATATAAAAAAAGTTCCGTGTATAAATTAGATTTTTATAATAAACATATTACACGAATAGGTGCTAATAGATACGATTGAGAATTTATCGACTGGCTTAAATTGAATATACGCATAAGTCTAAATGCGTCGTAATAATTTCTATATTAATCGCAAATTTATACAAATACTGGTTGAAAAGCGAAGCATGCCATTTTTAAATTGAAAAATGACATGCGCCAATTGATAAATAACACATAACATATGACCTCTTTATATGAGATAACGGTCTCTTCAGCATTCACATATGTTTGTAGCATTTATTCCATACCATATAACCCGTCGTATGAAGGGCTCTAATACTAATCACTAATAAAACATATTTATCCAAAAATGCCTAAACGCAATATTTCATATAAAACCTATCAATACTAAGCAATTATTCGGCACCCATTTTTTAGCCCATTCTTTGGCTTTTTCCAAAATCTCATTGAACTTTTGCTCATCGTCACCAACTTCTTTTTTCAAAACCTTTTTAGCTTTTTCATAACACATTTCACATTCTTCCTTAAATGTTTCAAACATTATAATTTCTAAATATGCCATCGCTAATGCCAAACATAATACTTTCTCATTTTCAATTCCAGTAATTTCAAAATCTTTAAATTCTTTTTTATCAAACCAAGAATAAAATTTAGTAGATGGCAAAAATGAACCATCAAATGATTGAAAATCGAGAAAATTATAAAGAGTTTCAATCTTTGGAGGTATTGATTTTACAGAAATAGCTGGTGCTGAAGAATCATCAATTTCCCAAGTTTCTTTAACTCCGCAAGATTCATCACTTAAATATTTAACTCCGCAAGATTCATCACTTAAATATTTGGATAAAGACTTAACAATACTACCAAAACCAAAATTAGATCTAATAGGCATCGAACAATATTCTGCTGCAACAAGGGATGTGTCAGGAGCAGAAACTGGAACTACCCTTTGACTTGGAAGAGTTTTTGCCTCAGATACTAACTTATTATCTCTTTCATCAATTGCGAGAAAACTAATTATATCAAAAAACAATTTATATTTATATTAGTCGTAAAATAATATATTAAGAAAATTTCATAAAAATATTACCTTGTATATTTAGAAGCCAAATTATACATAACACCCAATTTCACTATTTGTTCACGAATAAGTGTGTTTGGTATACTTTTTCCCCTATTCATTGGATGTTTATGAATAAATGAAGTTCCATCTTCAAGATTTTGAATAAGTTTTCTGGCTGCAAGTGTATGTATTTTTGTCCCTTGTAAAATTACAGGATCTAATGGAATAAAAAGCTTTATAGGGCCATTATAAGAATTTGCATTCAATATAATCTCTTTACAAGCTTTAACACCCTTTTCTAAGGTGCAATAAACTATAAATCGAACACCAGGATAAATTGGTGGGATTATGAATGGAGCTTGTTGAATTTTTATGTCCGTAAGGATGTTTTGAGCAGCTGGTGAAGGTGTAATTTTATTGCTAAAGAAACTAAGAACTGGTTTATTAACTGTATTAGTTTCCACTGGTAAGGAATCTTCGATGACCCTGGTCAGTCCAAGTAATATTATAATCTTTAATAGGAGATTTTATAGCATTTTTTAACATTCCAAGAATCTTTTTGTCCATTCGTTCAGAAATTGTAACAAATTTTAAATACCCTTTGCCAGCACGGGAAACAGACTCAACTAAATTATGAGAAACTTCATCACCAATTCCAATTGAAAAAACTATTAAATCATACTTTTTCTTTTCTTCACAAGAATTAATAAGTTCTACAATTTGATCAACATTGTAAACAAGACCATCAGTAATAAGGAAAATGGAAGTAGGCATATCATTCTTTGAGTTTTCAATGGCCCATTTTATAGGATTATAAATTTCAGTTCCTCCATAATTTGCAGTCATTGCTTGAGCATGTTTGAGAGCTTTTGAGAAAATTCCTTCAGAATAAGGTTGACTTTTTTTAAATAGAGAATCAAAGCGAGATCCGAATGATACCACATTAAATGTGCAATTTTCGGGTAATGAACGAAGAAGTAATTGGAGTGTATCGGATGCTTTCACCTTGCATTGAACCAGACCTATTAGAATATTACTCCCAAATCGAAAATAAAAACTAACATAGGAATTATTAATATTCTAATACAATGATGCTTATCATTATCTGTTATACTTTTGAATTTTGAATATTACCTATCAATTACAAAAACTAATTCTGACATTACTTCATTAATAGCGAACTTTGGCACTAAAGTTAGCATAATGCAATTAGTTTCCGTCTTAGGATCGTATTCAATAAAGGCTCTGGAGTGAAAAAAAAACCAATTAATTGAGGAATATATAATATGAGATTAAGTGTATTATTATTACCTTGGCTGATCGAGACCAAGACTTTTAATAACAAGTATAAAATCATTTTCTAAATGAGTAATTTGTTCAGCTAGAGTAATTTTTGAAACATTTGGACTACCATCAATATTTAATTCAGTCGAAATATGATGAGATGGTGATTCGATGCTTTGAATAACAGAAGTCATTCTACATGTAATATTAAGATCTAAATAATAGTCTGTCTTTTTTGAATAAGATATTTTATCAGGAATAAGTTTTTTCCAATTTGCAAGTGAATAACCAGATGAACCATACCGTGGAGCAATGGCAGTAGGGAAAACCAATCGAACTTTTTCAGATTCAGCATCATGTTTTAGTTCGGTTACATATGTAATTCTAATAACAATCGTTTGATCAGGTGTGATATTGCCAACGGAACATTGGAAAATATCTGGTTGTTCTTCTTCGACGAGATAAGCCCCATGACCTTGATGCGTAAACAAATATTATGTAAACGTTGTGTGTAAATAAACTGTACTTACGTACACAAAGTATCATAAACATAGTTATTTCATTCTATATACCTCAATAGCCTCATTATATTCTTTCACAGCCTGTTTTGCTTCTTTAACTATTCCTTTAACTTTTTTCTTTCCATCAATTTCAGCTTCAAACCCACATACCGCAGCTGCTTCATAAAGCGGGAATTTGTAAATGGCTTCAATAGTATCCTTTTCAACATTTTTATATGTCTGGCAAACCGTTGCTAGATTAAACAAACAAGGATATTAGTTGTTGCATTAAATATAATAAAACTATAATAATATTTAAACATGTAAATTTACTTTCTGTTATCATATCAACAACTAATCAAATTTAAAAAGAATATTAGCGACATAAAAGTATATTATATGCAAAAAATTGCATATGTGTAAAAAAGAAACTTTACTGTTCGCCTCAACAGAAACATTTTGCAAAGGAACAGGTTTTGGATTATCCTCTACAATGAAAATAAGCCCGTGTAGTTGCATCTTTTAATGAACAGTATTATTTAGAGATCATTTAAAGATTGTAACGGCGTTAAGTTTGGACTCACCGCTTTATAGCAAATTTAAGTCTGCTGCGTATGAGTATCGTATAAATATTACGTATGCACACAAGTACCATAATAATATCTTGGCTTATCGGAAATTGAATTATTTCCTAACGATAGGCATTTTATGGGCATGTTAACGATAATGGGTAACGGTAACTGCTGCAAGAGCCATCGGTCGTTTGTTAATAGTAAAGTGGTTAGCTAAAATAGGGCAAATCAATTGTTTTCACGTGGTCGATGATGGCGTGGGAAGGTGATAACATTGTAATCACATGTCAAAAGACATACGTACGTACGTACGTTGTGAAAGGGTAGATCGTTGCTTGTAATGGATTTTTCCATATTTGATAGGTCGGATGCATATTAGATTTAGCAAACTAGAAGGATTTGGCTCGTTTGTATGCTGAGGTGGCTCAGATA